AAAAATGTTCATCATTCAAAATACTTTCACAAAAGTAGAATTTATAAATTATATACAAATATAATAATTAAAGTCATCGTCCAAAGTTTGTGATCATTGACCAAGAAAACTCAATACGGCAAACCTTTTCGGGACGGAAGTAGTATTATAACTAGTCTACTTTTGAAAGAAAAAGTTTAAAGATGTTTTCTTTTAGACTGTTTTCATTCTCAGACCAAACAAGACTTAATCATACCAGACTTGAATAGATCAGACTAGACCAGAACAAATTTGGACAATTATAAAATACACAAAGATCATACATTTACTAGACCAGGCCGGACTTAGACAATTATAAAATATACAGAGATCATACATTTACCAGACCAGACCAGATTTAAACAGAACAAATCTGCAAAATTCAGCCAAAAAAAAACATCCTAGCAAATCTATTTTTGAAAAAAAAATGAAGTGAAAAAGTAATATTACTTCTCTCATTTATTAGTCTATTTGTGAAAGTTTCCTAAAAAGGGGTTGATAGCCAAAATGTAAGGAACTTTCAATTTTGATATTGATATAACAATTATGATTCTAATAATATAGGCGATTGTGCAAATTACTGGTATGGTTCACTTTGGTGTGGTCTATATCATTTATGTCCCAACTATTTTTCCTTTTCATTTTTAACTTTTGTTATTTCAATTATCTTTATTTATTTCAGTTGTAGACTATTCTTTCTCCTACTCCCGTTTCTGTTCCTCGCTTCTCGCGAGATTCTCCTTCCACCTCCATCCGCTCGACTTGGACCTTGACTCTCGTCTCTTTGCTCCGACCTCTGTGAAGCATCGACGCCAACTCGCCACAATCGCCAGTCGTTTCTTTGTCGTCATAGCTTGATAGGCTGATAGCCTCACCGGATCACTGCACTCCTAACCGACGAACGAATTCAGGCAAAAGGTAATTTCTCCAATCCTCATTAATTCATCTGTCGTCTCCGTATCTGGCTTAATTTCTAACCTTGTAAGTTTCTAACCTAATTCTTTAACGTTAATCTCATATTTATACATCAATTTCTAAGCTTGTCAATTTCTTACCACGTTGTGCTCCATTCTATTGAAAGTTTACCAGAGACGAAAGAACATTTGGTCCTAGTAAGTACCATCATTTTCCCTGTGAAATGAATTGGATGTTTCAGGATACCTCGATTGATTGCTGGTTGTTCCATATGATTTGACGTGTTTAAAAAGACAAAACATATTCTTTCTTAATTTCTTATGAAAACAATATATAATTGGTTGAGTGAAACTGAATGTGTGTGTCTATCATCTGTTCATCACATTTATTCACTTTCTTGCAGTGTGAAATTGAGTATTATTAAAACAGAGGGACTTGTTTTGCTATTTTTTTCATTTTACTTTTCTATAATCATTTAGTTGTTGTCATTGTATTTTTTATTAACTTAGTAATTATTTTAAAATTTGAAATGTAATCAACTCTCTGACTGTGACGGTTGATTATCCACTACATGGCACCCATGCTTAAAGTGATATGTGTTGGTCTTCATAGTTTTCGGAGAGGTAATTCTCTTGTTTGTTGCTTAAAAATGTTTTTCTGTTGCAGATATCAATTATACTGAAGTGGCATAAATAATAAATTTAATTGATGTATTCTATTTGACAGGCAAGAAAGAGATTTCAATCTTAAATAGGATCGTGGGGCTTGAGGTTGTAAGATTGTGTAAATGGAATCTGATATTCAATAAAACAAATATATGTTGTAATTAGTGTGTGCTATTCACTTTAAAGACATTATTGTGAAGGAAATAAGTGCTGGACCTGGAGTTCTAAAGGGTCTTTCAAGACTTGAGACAATTTCTAATTAGCTTTTAACTGATTCGTTTTGTATTTTATATTGTTTTAAGAAACTTGTTAGATACTATGAGTTAAATGTGTTATTATACTATGCAATACATTTGAGTTGAGTATATTTGAAATTATCATATATTTGAATCAAGTGTTTGTGATTATAATATTTTGAATAGTGTGCAATTATAACTTTTTGTGTTTTCTGAAGACTTATCAGCAGGCTTCAGGACATCTTGTGAATATGGCATCATATGTTGGCTTGGTGTATGGCACATGCATAATCTTAAACATGCATTCCTGCACATGTCCTTCAGAAGCCTTTGATACATAAGTGGAGCAAATCCGGGGAGCAATCACCAAAGCTTAATTTGGCTTTTTCAGAAGAAAGGAAAGGACCTCAGGAGGCTTTATTCCTAGAAATCATGATGTAAACTTGATTGCAACAATTTTCATTTACTCTTTTGAACTTTGATACCTCTAAAGAGTTGGATATCCTAAATCAGGCTCTATGTTGGTGTTGTAATACATTTTGTTACATTTTTTCTTTATGATAATGTATTTGGGGAGTTTGTCCAGCTAATGAAGGAGAAATAAAGGGCTTAATGGGTAATCTTTGCAGCAATTTCCCACCATATATGAAAGAGCAAGTGGTCATACTTATAGCAAGCAGAAAGGGAATGTTAGCTAGTTGCTCTAAGTTGGGGAGATTTCAATGTAATAGCACACGATCAATACTTTGAGAAACAAGTCTGCTATCTACTCGGTTTGAGAGAAAAAATAAAAAATTGAATAATTGATTGAGTTATATATTTAGAGTGATGCTTTTATATGTTATTTCTGTTGCTTTTTGTTTCATAATACATGTTGCATTTTGTTGCATCATGTTGTTTTTTGCTACAACATGTTGATTTTTGTTGCATCATATTGCTTATTATTGTTTATAGGTGATTTTGAGTTTTTGTTGTTTATTTAAATCTATATTTATCTTTGCTACTTACTTGAAGTAAAAAGTCATATATAAATATATATTAAAGAAACAAGATTGTGAAGCATCAAAGCCAAATAATATAATACGGAGTGATAAATTGAGCTACCAGATTGAATTTTATACTTATTATACTATCTCCGTCCCGGAATTATCTCCTTATTTGACTGGGCACGGGTTTTAAGATAGTGGGAAATATGTGGTGAAAAGTTGTGCAGAGGAAAGAGAAATGTGTAAGAATAGTTGTGAACCATAAATTCTTTGTCAAAAAAGGAAAGAGGAGATAAATTTGGGACGGACCGAAAAGGAAAGAATAAACATAATTCCGGGACGGAGGGAGTAATATTTTTATATATTATTTTTTGTTTCTTTTTGTTGCAGTGTATGTGTTTTTTTGTTGCATCATGTTACTTTTTGTTGCAAAGTGTTGCTTTTTGTTGCAATATGTTGCATATTGTTGTATCAAGTTGTTATTGTTATTTTTGTTGTTTATTTAACATTCTATTTGTCTTTTCTACTTCTCCGAAATAAAAACCATCTATACACACACAAAATACCTAAAATGATAAATTTGGGTTTATAAATATCAACAACAACAAGAGAAACAAGAAAAAAATAACAGTTATCAACAAAAAGAAACACACGGAAACAATGTGCAACAAATTATTCCAAATTAATGTTTTTTATTATTGTTTAAAAATAATATTAGAAAATTAATATTTTTAATTATTTCCTATTTTAAATTTTTTTACATGCTCCGGTTTTATATTTTTGACATTTTTATTTTCATGGTTTTTATATTTTACACTCTTTTAATTTACACTAATTAGTCTAATTTTATAAAACTTTGGTACTTTATATTATGTATTTTTATTTTTATTTATAAAATATGTTTTGATTTTTTTAATTTTATCAAATTCTATGTGTTTTTTATATTATACTTTTTGCTTTGTATATCCTCTGATAAACAAATCTCTCTTCCATAAACATTGCTAGTTACTTATCATATTTTTAATAATTTCAAAACCTCTTTCTCCTGATTTTATAATTTTTTGTTACATTTTATATGTTTTAGGGTATTAAACCGTATTTTAAAGCTTTTTGTTAAACTTTTGATTTTTTCTATTTTTTGACAGTTTATATTTTGATAAAAATTATGATCACTATTTCAAAAAGTTACATAACAAAAATTGTATTTTCTACAATGTTATCATAGTTTAAACTAATTTTAGAGTTTTGATATATTCATTTAATTTAAAATTGAAGTTTGTACAATAATCTCACAATTTAAACTAATTTTGAATTTCTTTTCTTTTCATTTGTTAATTTTCTATATGTTTTTTTGCATTCTGTTTTATTTTTTGAATTGAAATTCCTCCGTCGAATTTGATTTACAATTTTCCATCTTCAATTTTTACTTTGCATTCTTTAATATTTTCATACTTTTATTATTACTTTTTTATTTTTTTATTTTATATTTCATACTTTTTAATTTTTTGATTATCTTCATCATTTTTACATTATTTTTATATTTTAAAACAAGAATTAGATTAATTTTTTTGTGTTTGTATAAGTTTAAACAAAGGGGGAAGAGATGGAGCCTACATGCACTTTGGAGGGGGAGTTGACGTTCACATCTTAGGTCCGAGTAGCTTGATTCTATGCATATGGTCTTTTTTTGAAAGGAAAAGTTTAATTAGTCTATTTTTGAAAGAAACTTATAAATGTGAAAAAAGTGATATAACTTTCATTTTTTATCTATTCCCGAAGTGTTTAATGCACCAAACCTCCTCGTGATATAGAAATTTAGCGCATTAGCCTCCTGTGATTTGAAAAATGCATCAAACTCCCTTGTGTTTTAATTAATCATGCACAGAACCCCTTTATGAATAAATTTAATGATTTTGAAATCACTTTTCCTAATATTTTGATTGAATATGCAAGTAAATATGTCAAAATTTCTAAATCATACAAAAACGTTAATCATTTTTTCTTTTATTTGACAATTGAATTTGTTCATAGAAAGAATTTTGCGCATAATTAATTTAAACAAAAGGAGGTTTCACGCATTTTTAAATCACACGGGGCTAATGCGTCGAATTTACATATCATAGGGGGTTTGGTGCATTAAACTCATTCCCGAAAAAATCCCTAAGCGATTTGCTATTAAAAAAAATAAACTCTTCAATTTTAGATGATCCAAACAAGCTAAGTAGTTTCTATTGGGCCGGGCCGTCGATCTCGAAATTTCCAGACTCTTCTCCGAGCGTCGCTTCTCTTCGTCTCCGATCTTTACAAATTCGCCAGTCGTGGTCAGTAGTCATGTACGCGACTCTATTACTACCATTTCTAAGCTCCTTTTAGGACATTGTTCACAGATAGCATTCATTTGACGCCAGAGTATGGCTAGACTGGGAGAAGGAGACAAAAGATGGATCGTGGAAGATCGCCCGGACGGTACCAACGTCCATAACTGGCACTGGGCCGAGACCGACTGTCTCGAATGGTCTCGCAGCTTCTTTAACAAGCTTTTCAGTAATCAAACCATCCTCAACGGAGAGGGTAGTCTCTACATCCGTATAAAAAAGCTCGATAAGCTTGACGGCGAGGCCTACGTCAACGTTCGGAAAGGTAAAATCATCCCCGGCTACGAACTAAACCTCGTTCTCTCGTGGGAAGGTGAAGCCAAGGATTCCGAAGGGAAGTCGTTGGCTAAGACCGATGGGACAGTCGAAATCCCTTACATTTCGGATGAGAATGCGGGCGAAGACCCTGAAATCAGAGTCGCTACTCGTGAAGATGGGCCGCTCGAGAAGAGATTGAAGGATGCTTTTATTACTACTGGAAAGCCCTTTGTACTGGAGCAAGTAAGAAGCTGGGTAAATGCAATGGCCAGCGGTGGGCCCGCTAAGGATGAGCTCGAGCCAAAATCTGTTTCTAAGAAGACTGTTGCTCCGATGGCTGCTGAGAAGGAGAAACCAGCCATTAAGGAGGTTGTGAAGGAGAAGACGACAAAGAAGAAGGAAGGTTTTAAGACGATTACAATGTCTGAGAAGTTCAATTGCAGGGCAAAGGATCTGTATGAGATATTGATGGACGAGAATAGGTGGAAAGGGTTCACACAGAGCAATGCCAGAATCAGTAAGGAGGTCGGGGGAGAGTTTAGCATATTTGATGGCTCAGTGAACGGGAAAAACTTAGAGCTGCAGGAAAGCAAACTAATTGTACAGAGCTGGCGATTTGGGAGCTGGCCAGAGGGTATCCTGTCCACGGTATGAATGCATAATAATCTTTACATTTCACTTCTGTTTATGTTCTCAAGTCATGTTCTTCATTTTTATGTGTCCCTTTATTGAAATGTTTTTAATGCTTAATCTTACCATGCACAATTTATTATGCTGAGGTGGTATGGTTCGAAGGATGTGGATAGAACATGTGTGAGAAACCGTAGTTCCTTTTGAGGCTCCATTAGGTAAATAAGCAGAAAAAAGTGTGTTTGGTAAGCCCAAATGGGCTTATTAGCTCGATAATCTGGCTTGACCTTCAAGCTCCATATGCCTGTGGATGCTGCTGATTTATTTTATGGGAAAAACTCAGTGCACCTGTGCTCTTTTGGGCATTAGTTCAAACTAAAATTGGTTACGGATATTGTTCGGTAATTATATATCCAATAAGTCATTGAACACGAACAATTACTGAGTGCTTTTAGTTCAGCCATTTCAACCTGAGTCAACCCTGTATGTAATCACCATATGGGCTCTAAGTAGCTTTTGCTTACTAATTTGGATTTAATGAATGTTACCAAATATATTCTCTAAGAATTTAGCAACTCCAGCCATTTAAGATAAGTAAACATCACCAAAAAATGGCCCTGAAAGGGCTGATAATGGTTAGATATTATCAATGGTAGTTATTTTAAGTTAAAGCTACTTATGGAGAGGAATTAGTGTTCTTGGATGGGATCTAATTGAAAGTTGGTATCATTAGTCTTTCCAAGGAGCCAAATATTAAAGCACTAATCATTCCAAATGCCTCTTAGGTATCTTAAAACAGTGCTTGATGTCATTGCTTGTAAGTTGTTTCATGGATAAATTAGAGGGTAGTCACTACTCACTAGTCAGTAGTGTCTTGTGTATGTATTGCCCCGTCTGTCTTTATGTAGTTAATGATAGCTACCCACAGTATGAATGAATTTGGTATTGATGCAAACGAAAACTTTTTTGTTTTTCTTGCCATCCAAAGTGGTCAAATTGGATTTCTATTCCATTTGCCCCCTTTAGCATTTGTTGATAGAATTTATTTAACAATTGAGGAAAGAATACAAAGCTAGCTCAATTTACCATTATCAATGAATAGAAACAATGCTAATTTATCCACCCTAAAAGTATAGATTCATTTCTAATTGAATATTATTTGGAGTTTGTAAATTATAACCGAGTGGGAGAAAATATTTGTGTAGAGTGCCACAATAACTCAACAAGTATGGCATCAGATTGTTTAGATGGTTGTTCTGGTGTTGTTTATGTCCGATGGCTGTTGTTGATTTTGTGCCGGGTATGCTCCTGGTAATCATGTACAGGTTCTGCAATTTATTATATAGTTTCACGGTTCCACCAAAAAACGAGTATGACATCAGGATATGAAGTGCAAAATTGAGTTGGTAAACTATTGCAGTGTGAACCAGGATATATTACTACAATTTCATTTCTGTTGTGTAATCCATATGGTGTAACCTATGGTATCCCTCAAGCTCTTCGCCTTTGGGATACTAATCGTCTGCCGCCTGTCTAGCGCCTTATTTTGTTAGAAATACAATGCTTAAAATTTAGTTTTTTTGTAGGTCCGTCTCACTTTTGATGAGCCTGAACCAGGAGTTACTGTGGTTAAGTTGGTCCATACTGATGTACCAGAGGAAGACAGGTCAGTAATCAGATTTGTTTATTGCTTTGGTTGGAAGTATGATTCGAATCATGTCCCGCTTATTTTGTTTATAAAAAGTAGAAAAATCAAAAGAAGTACTAACCCGTCTCATTTTATGTGTCACATTTGGTTTTGACACAACCTTTAATAAAAAATTGTGGTTGAGATTCGAGTATACTCGAATGAAATGTTGTGAGCTCCATAGATAGTTTCTTTTCAAAAAGGAACAATAAAAGTATTATGAGACCTTTTGGGTGAAATGGATGGTCCCAAACACTTTCTTTTCAAAAGCATTCGGTGGTCTCGGCCATTTCAGCCAATTTACCAAATCGGTACAGGCTAATTATTGCTCTGAAGACTTCGTTTTTTTTTTTGCAATTAAGACTTCATTCTTTCTGATATACATACATATATTATATATATAATTATTTGATGATGTACAGATATGGAAATGAAACTGTGGTGGAAAACACCGAGAGGGGATGGAGGCATCTCATTTTTCATAAGATACGAGCTGTATTTGGTTTTGGAATTTGAATCAAGCCCCCCCCCCCCCCCCCCCCCCCTCATATGAGTTGATGTAGAATTTCACAAATCTTTGTCTCGACTGTCGAGTGTTAACAACTCGAGTGAGATTGTCTTGTCGTCATCTGTTTTTTAAAAATGAAGGATATCGATTGGCTACATGGTTACTTTTTATTTCAATCCCCGCTTACCTTGCTTGCTTTTGGTATTTGTTAATCAAATGATGATCGCTGGGCTGGGAGAACGTTTGGGAAGTGATCATAAAGCACTGAAATTCTAATACGGTAATCTATCTACAAATAAAAAACACCTTTGAAAGATACAATCGTACAATTATAAATAAATTAATCTATAAATTATAAATTAGTCTATCTATAAATAACACATTTGAGAGACAATCATACAATTATGGAAATGTTTACCATATGTCATGTTCTAAGAGCATCTACAATTACTAACTATTATACAAATAAGCTTTTTCTGATTAATTCATTTTTTAGCAATGTGATAGTCCAATGGTTAGCTATAACCTCTTGAATAGGTCCCTCAAATCAACCAATTTTGAAAAAAAGACATTTTAAATGAATTATTTATTTATACAATCAAACTAATACTTTATTGAAATATCCAAACTCGTAAATTATTAGTGTTTCATTATTATAGCAATGATATAAAAATATATTTTTAAAATTAGTACACAAATATCTACTTTGTTAAGTAAAAAAGAGAATTTTAACAACTCATGCATACTGAGAAATATCAATTTTAAATATTTCATGAGAAAATTAAATATTTCATAAAATTAACAAAGCAAATACATTAAATATAATAAATATATTTAATGTTTATGGTTGTAGTGCATTACTTTACCTTTGCATTTTCAGAGGTTTGAAAGTTTACTGTTTATTGTTGTTGGGATATTGGACCGAAGGTCCAATACCCGGATAAAAGGTCCAAAATATCCAATCCAATAAACAGTCCGGAATCAGGGCGAAGAACAGACCCAGTGAGAGATATTTGCCCCGAACGGGGATCGGGTCAACCAGGATACTTGGGTTACATCAATGGTGTTTTCTGCATGGTCCACCACCCCGTTCGGGGAACGGATAGATGGCAAGTGGTAAGGAGCAATAAATGCTAGAGTATGACATCAACTAGTGGAAGCATGGGCATTCAAGTGGTTGGATTAACGACCATTCAACGTGGAACACCCCATACCCCCCCCCCCCCCCCCCCCATTAGTATAAATAGAGGGATTAATCTCATTGTAAAGGGTTAGATTTTTTATACTCAAAGCCTAGAATAGCTTTATTACTCTTGTTCTTGTATTAATCACTATTCCGACGTACCGTTCGGGAAAGTTTCTTGTGTAATCAGCAAATCATTTAAATATAAGTGGGCATTGAGCTTATTATTATTCAGCTTTTATATTTTGTTATACCCTCGATTTATTACCCACATCCTGAAATATCCAAAGCGTGTGTTGGGCTTTCAGATCTACGAGACTTAACCTCAACATTGGCGCCGTCTGTGAGAAACTTGAACAAAAAGTTTCAAAACCAACCAACTATCCAAACATCAACCAATTACCAAAATGGTCATAATCACCTCTCATCATACTGGTGGAAGTTCTGGGAGACGCGACGACAGCAAGACCCCCCAAGGGCAATCTAGTCGGGGGTCGTACCAACATTTTGATGGGGATTTCTTCATCCCCGAAGCACTGAGGAGGAACCCCCATGTCATGCGGGATCTAGCTCAGGTCATGCAGCACTTGGCGGATGAGCAAGACGGGGGGGCGATCCAACTATATTGGGGAAACTAGGTACACGACCCCATCCCCACTCTGATCGATGCAATCATTCGATGAGGAGACCGTCGATACAGAAACCACCACAGCTTCGAACCATTCACGAGCCCATCGGGGAGATCACCGAAGGACTCACACGTCAAGGGGCAGGCATCACACTCCCAGTGACCACACCCCGATCGGGTCTCGAGCCAGAGGAGATACGCCAATCGGGCGCCATTTCCATTATGGAGAACATGACAACACCAGATGCAGACAGGAACGTCGACATCAGAGAACGCCCCCACCGGAAAGAACCCAAGAGTTTGTCAATTTGGGAACTCCACCACCGCCTCCCCTAACGACCCAGGAGGAAGAGATGGCCGAAATGAGGAGGCACATGAATGAAATGAGGGACCAGATGAACAGGGCACCTCTATAACCTACCCCTGTGCGAGTCGGGATCACTTCCCCCTTTACCTGGGAAATAATGGATGCTGAAATCCACGGGGATGCCAAACCGCCGACCGGTCAGGTATATGACGGGGCGAGAGACCTCCATGTGCATTTGAGAAGTTACCAAGGGGGGCTCATGTTGTTGGGAGCAATAGAGGCGGCCATTTGCCGGCTGTTCTTCAGCACGCTCAGGGGACCTGCCCAGGAATGGTTCGGGACCCTGCATCCAGGATCGATCGGCAGCTTTGCCAAATTATCATCCTTATTTCTGGCCCAGTTTGCTTCTAGTGCCACCCCTAAATGACATTTCAGCTACCTGACCAGTGTCAAGCAGGGGCCAAATGAGACCTTCAACCAGTTTCTGAAAAGATAGAGGGATGAAACCCTGAAGGTTGGGAACATGACAGATGATACGGCAATCACCATGTTCACTAACGCCCTCCGAATGAGTGAACTGTACAAGGATTTGAAAAAGAATCTGGGCACGGTGTATGCCGAAGTGCTGGACAGGTCCCGAGAGCATGCAGCTCTGGAGGAAGAAATCATGATCAGGGACAAGGTGGCTATACCATCTGCCCCACCCAGACTGGCCGATCAGCTGGGTCCCATCCCAGTGGCCGCACCCCCTCTGAAGCCAGGACGATTCACCCCTCTGGTCCTGTCTGTTGCAACCATTTACCAGAACGAGAAGGACAATATTCCCCTCCCGATTGATACCAAAGCTTACGTGGGAGCAGATGAGAATGCCTTTTGTAAATACCACAAGAGGAAGGGTCACCGTACCCATTTCTGTTGGGCATTATAGATTGCAATTGAAGAATTGATCCAACGGGGCCATATGGACAAATATGTGAATAAAGATCTGAACGCTGTAGGCATCCTGAAGCCGATCAAGAAACCCAACAGCTGGAGACATGATGATCAGCATGATGCTCAGCCCAGGAATGATGTTTATATTCCCCCCAGAGACGAAGCAGAGGGTTTGAGGAACCCGGGGGAAAAGCCAAGAATGGAGGTGAAGATTATATTTGGGGGCGGGGAAACAGGGGATTCGAATGCCGAACGGAAACGTTTTGAACGGAGCCTCTATGTGGGATCCATTTCCACCCCACCCCACCCAAGAAAGGAAGAATGGATCCAATCACATTCGTACCTGCAGATTGGCCCAATTCACCAAGTCCACACAGGGACGAGCTGGTGATAAGCATGTGCATAGACAATGCTTTGATCCACCAGGTGTTGATTGACACATGGAGCAGTGTGAACGTATTGTACCTACAATCGTTCGAGAAAATGGGACTACGGAGAAACCGATTGACCCACCTGAAGACACCGCTTGCGAGCTTTACCGGAAATTGCATTGAGATAGAAGGAACCGCCCAACTACTGGTTGAGATTGGAGATGAGACACACAAAACATCGGTCCGAATGACGTTCGTGGTGGTGGACATCAAATGTGTCACACCCTGGACCTACCCGGACACGTCAACAACCCACCGTATAGTACGAATAGTCAACCGCAGTCTAACACATCCATACTATACAAGGCGTCTTGAATACCATTCACACATAGTACATCCATAAACAAACATAATGTAAAACGTTCATTTTAAAATAGCGGAAACATTTTAATACAAGTGTTTATGCTACACTTTGGAAAACATGGGCATACAAGCCTGATGGATAGTCTACCCGGGGGTATATATCCGAAGGGTTATTACGGGGAATAACTTAGAGAGAAGCCAGAGTAAGCAAGTAAGTGTAGAGAGAGAGTGTATTCAGTATGAATGTCGTGGTTTTCAGCGTGGTTACAAATGAGGAAATGGGGTGCTATTTATAGTAGCAATGAATGCCGGACAGGGACACGTGTCAAGCGCTCATTGGCCGAGGGGTCACCTCAACTGGCTGGCGCTGGCAGCCGCATGTGGCCGCATTTAATGCGGCTGTTGGATGGGACGTCTGTGCAGGGTACGGCGATCTGTACGCATGTGAGGCGGATATCTTGTCGAGTGAGATGCCTTCGGCTATAGAGCAGTAGCCGAGGGCTCCTCCAACCGATGGCACCCTGGTGCCGAGGGCTCACAGTGCCGAGGGCTACTGTTTTCGCCGTTTTCTCCCAGTTTCTTAATTTGCTTGAGAAACCCGTTCTGTGAGAATTTAGAACCTTCGGCCAGGGGGCCGAAGGCACCCCTGGCGCGTAGTGCGGGCTGCTTGGTACTCTGGGCGCTGTGACTTGGGCCTGTTGGGCCTTCTGGGCCTTCGCTGGAGTAGTAGGAGTCTGTGGGCCGGGGGTTCCCGGGCCATATACTGCATCAGGAGTCCTTCACTCCTTTTGCCGAAAGGTACTTGAGGGAAAAGGAGTAATTTGTGCTTGCCCTTTGACGTTGTCCTGTCGTAACCTCTGAAGTTGGTGAGGAGTTGTTGCTTTTATGTCCCTGCCGAAGGCAGTCCCTCAGTTACCCACATGTCGGGACTTGAGGGCTTGCTTTGTCGTTTGTTGGAATTTCACTAGTTTTGTAATTTCCCGAGGGGGTCCTCCAGTCCCCCACTCCTTGAGGCACTTGTAAAGTGGTGAAAAGGAGTAGAGTAGTTGCGTTGCTGTTGTGGGCCGAAGGCTGACGCTTTTCGTTTCATTTTGGGGGGATGCCTCGTTAAAAACCTCATTAGGAAAAACCCTGGGGAAAAAAATCCTAATGAGGGAAAAAGAGTGCACCGAATTCCCCCAATGATGAATCGAAAATGTGAAACCTTGGTCAAAAATGGAGAACAACGGTAATGCCGAAGGCTCTTCCTTGTTCTGAGGGCTCATGTGTTGATTAGCCGAAGGCTTGCTGTTGATGTCCTGGGGGTGCCGAAGGGGAGCCCCTCAATCTGGGGATCGAGGGCCCGCTGGATGAGGGCAGCGGTGGAGTTGTTACCGGGGGGTCCACTGTTTGTCGATTAGTTGTTGATG